GATAATCACACCAAATTAGACATAATAGACAACCACATCAACACATACTACCTTTCCCGCACTCACATCTACACAGATGCATCCATAAACATATTCAACAAAACAGGCATAGGCATCCATGTGCAGCAAACTCCCCCTTTAACAACAAACCTGCACTATACTAACCATACCACCATCAATACTGCAGAACTAACCGCAATCCTCACTGCACTGCACTTAATCCCCACTCTACAGCAAACAAACTTCGTCATACTCTCTGACTCGCTCAGCTCCATCAGACAGCTACATAATATGTACTCAAAATCTCGCCCGAATCTAATTCACAATATCACTATTCAAACCGATTCACTTAAACGCTTAAATAAAAACATAACATTCCTATGGATACCCAGCCACACTAACATACCAGGAAACAACACTGCAGACACAGCTGCTAAGCTTGCCACCACACACAACTCACCTAGTATCAACTTCCACACATCCAAAACAGAAATCAAACAACTCATTAAAACAAATATAACCAAATCAAACTTCCAACACAACATAAACACCAACAAATCAACATGGGTTAAAAACATCATCAAAACACCTATTAAGAAATGTCCTACATTCTCCAATACCAAAAACATTGACACATGCATAAACCGGCTTATTACAGGCATCACAAATCTCAATTATACACTATACAAACAAAATAGACACCCAGATAGACTATGCACCCACTGCAACACACCAGAGGACATTAACCACATATTCACACAATGCCACCTACAACAAACAAACATTAGGCAGGTTCACAGCAATATACCACCCAAATACCATAATAATTTACACCTACTCCTCAACCCCTACAATCCGCACATTATCTTCCAAGCCATAGCCACCTTCCTACAAAACTCTAACCCACTTCATAAAATTTAGAACCTCCAAACAAATTTCCACAACACCACTGCTCACTAGCTCATACATTTAGACCAGGCTTCAAAATTTCACTTATCCATACTATATCTCTATCACCAATATAAGCCTACTCATTTAGACCTGGGACTCAATCAGCCTCCACTAAATATTAAACAAACCAGTCCAACCTCTCCAGTACAAGGTCAAGGCCACTCACCCCAGCCAGCTCAGTCGCAGCCTTATATCAACAGCCACGCCCCCCTGCCTTCTTCGCTCTCCCCATACCCCCACCCCCACCAATTTAACCCCATTTTCTTTCTCTTATAAGCCCCTGCAGCTTACCTGCACTCATTTATATGTCCCACTTTGCTATACCTATTTAGTACCCCCCATCCCATGCATGGCCCCCATTTACATCTATTTTTAGTTTTCACTCTATCTCTCATTTATTAACAAATACTACTGTTTTCTTCATCCCTTTCCCTTTTTAACTTAGGCTTTTTAGTTTTCTGTTCATCTCATGTTTTCAACGTTTTCATTCCAAATTCATCTAGGTTAAAGCCCCTACATTTACATTTTTTTGGGGCATGGTGGTTTACGTCAATGCTGGTTTACTCCCTATTCCCACCTGCCCCGTCGGCGAAATTGGCGCCCGCCAGAAACCGACGTTAAACCATTTAATTCGTCGTCGTCGTCATCTCTTCAACACACATTGTCTTCTCCGACGTCCGCGCCCCTACCAAAACACTCCATTTCGACCCGACTCACTTATAACTCTCACCAACAATCTTTTATTTACTTGTTACTTATATTCAAGGCCAATCACCCAATCTTCTTCACCCACCCAACCAAGCCAACTCGCCATCTCTGCTTCCTAACAACCCCCCCCCCACACCCACACCCACACCCACACCCCACTCACACACACTTTTAAACCCTTTAAACAACCACCTTCACCTTGAAGGGTGTCATTCACGCCTGAAGAAATGAGCCTGAACCATATGCATTTGGAGCTTTTGGGGGTTTTGTCCTACATGGGCGGGGTTTTGTCCAAGGTCCAAGTGGGCTTTCGTCCACAGGTGTTTACATAGGCGGATCCAGAGGGGGTTGGGTCCCTTTGTTCTGAAAGTTGAAACTCGGGTGAAAATAATCATAACGGGTGAGTGGTTTATCCAGGGATAATCTAGGGTTCTCGTACCTGACACAAATATGAATCGTCTAAGTGGGAAGACAAATATATACTGAACACTGCTGTACAACATAAGGCCACATAAAATAATTGTCTTGTTTCTCATCACTTTTTTAAAAAAAGTAAATAGGTAGGGCTGCGCAATATAACCGGTTTACCGGTATTTATCGGTTCAGACATGAAAACAATACGTATTGCGATACGCCGATCGAAAACCGGTATTTTGACATGCATTCGGAAAACATCGTAACACTCGGAAATCTTCGGATATTTCCTTGTTTCATTTGTGCCAAATATTATTCACATTTTTATTTTATCATGATTAAAATTTGTCATTTAAGCTTAATCAAGCATAGTGATTTTGTTGTGTTTTTGCTCTATAAATCAAGCAGTAACTCGATTATAAGTAGTTTTTTGTTTAAAAATACTTCATGCAATATATTGCAATGCATATCGCAATACATGCTTTGCATCGCAATATATCGCAATATGAATATTCTCTGCAATACCCACCCCTATAAATAGGTAGGGCGGATTTTTCGTTTTTGTTTTTTTGTGACTTCCTATACAATGTTAGTTGAAAACTTGGAATGTCGGAAGCTGAGACGGATCTAGGAATTCTGCCAGCTTTACACAGGCAAGGTCTTTGAATGGCATTTAGAAGTGATACACATATGGAAGAGAGTTTTTAGAGATGTCATCTTCTTTATTTTGAGGACCACAACACACATACTCCGAAACGCTGTGTTCCTCATAATAAGGGCGGTGGGGTAGCCTAGCGGGTAAAGCGTTGGCTCGTCACGCCGAAGACCCGGGTTCGACTCCCCACATGGGTACAATGTGTGAAGCCTATTTCTGGTGTCCCCCGCCGTGATATTGCTGGAATCTTGGCGTAAAACTAAACTCACTCACTCATTGTGTAACTAAACGGATTTTGTTCATCATTAATATATCTCCGTACATTAGCCGTTTTCGGTGAAAAAAGTACAGGTAAAAATGTCCTCCGTGATGTTGCTGGAATATTGCTAGAAGCGGCGTAAAACCAAACTCAGTCAGTCAGTCAGTCCTCATAATAAAGAAAATGACATCCATAAATACTCTCTTTCCTATACAGGCAAATTTACCAGTGAAACAAAAAAATAGGGTTGGACCATTTTTATGTTCGGTCGGTAATGAGAAACAAGAAACTATTTTCCTGTGGCCTAACGTCACTAACCAGACGTTCTGCGCCCGGTGATAGTAATGGGATGTTTGCCCTCATGGGGATCCAACATAGGGCGTTGTGTGTAGCAAGCCCAAACACAATGAGGTAACATGAGAACGCGGAGACATGGTCGGGCAGGTGGAAATATGCGTCCAAGAAATAGCATTGTTGCCAACGATCAGTGTCGGTATCTGTCGAAACACGATCCTACGGGTGCAAAAGGCAAAATGTGACGGAAACCATATCAAACCAATGAAAGTATAAAGAAACCAGATCGGTTAAAGTTCAAAGTTTTCACATAGTTTAGACAATTCATGTACACTTATGACAATTTCATAACATTAGAAACGTACAGGTTTAAAAAACCCAAAACCAAACAATTTAACTTACCAACATAAGATGGACCTTACAACGCTAATGACCATATGACGTCATTCCGGTCAATTCGGCTATGTGAATTTACAAATAACATTGAGTGTACTAGTAAGCCTACTTATCACACATACTACATGAGAAGAAGAAGAAGAAAATATTTTTATTTTTGTGTCACATGTTATATATAAAACATACATAAACTTTAAAACATTCAATAAAATATAACATCCGGCCATATGGCCTATGAGACACAAGGCACTATATTATATCTAAAACAGATAGTAGTAAATAACATACCACAGCTTTGTAAGCAACAATGGAGTGTGGTATATATATTTAATTACATGACTACAAACTGCGTTTACAAATGGTTACCAATACACTACATGTATACTTCACTGCAGTGACGATTCATCTCCTTCAGACCATGAAAACATTATAAAATCAGTTCAAAATTACATACCTCGAACTAACCGCTTTACGAAATTTAAGTGACAACCTAAGGATATAAAATGCATTTGATGTCCTGCTCTTTATTTTTATTTCATTTTTACTTTGATAAATCCATTAATGTCTTTGCTCAGTAGAATTGATTATAAGGCATGACGTACTATATGCGGAGGAGCGTTGATATAGGCCTTTTGCCCTGCCGTTTGCTTATCCTATTTCCATTTTGCTATATCACGGAACATGTAAAATGTAAACATTGATGGAAATAAAATATTGTTTTAATCACATGTTATGATGGGAAATATATAATAGCTACGTTAATTAACGCATGACCAGAAACTTCAACTTGGGACAGGTAGATTTATGTCGGTTATACTCAACTGACATATTTAAGCAGAACTCCGAGGGCTTCTTGCCGCCATTTATGTCATGCAAATAAACAGTACGGGGATATGTCAGCGTTAGCGATAATGACTTCTTATATTGAGTGATAGACGCTTTGCTGTACAAGCGATAAACAAGCTTACTGAATGCTGATTAAATAGTTGATTGAAAGAGTCCATTGTTTAGACGATGGAGTTGATTGTGACTTTGTCATACTGAAGTTGATTTACAGATGGACTCTAGTAATAGCAGAGACCACATAATAGATTATATGGTCTCTGGTAATAGACTTTTCCGTTGTCATCATATCGGCCTGGATATAGGCTGGAGAATGTGTTCACAATGCAGATTTAAAAATGCAACTCAAACTATTGTTATATAAGCGGAAACAATTTCGTTTTGAACTACCATCCTTGAACATAAGAAAATCACCCTTCATGTAGTTAGTATCCACTTAATAGTGTAAAGAATCTCATTTATAAATGAAACACATCTCACCTCATAAACAGTTGGAGTCAAGCGCGCAGTACGTCCGAATTGTGTGACGGGGGCCTCAGCGTTAGACAATTTGTTGGTGCGTTTGCGCGAAGCGATACTTTTCGGGAACGTGAACAGGCCTACCAAAGAAAACTGGTGAACTAAAGCTCATGAGAAGCGCGGCATGGATTGATTATCAATCTGGATTTGGTACTGATTGGGGGATAGTAATGGGCAAATGTAAGCTAATGGGACTGACAACGTAGAACGATGGGGGCGGGGCAAAGAAATGGGCAGGTGCCCTGGTGTCGGTTAATGACTGGCTGGTATGTTTTGCCAGGTATAATATACAGTTATATATGTCCAAGATATTTTTATGGATTAAAATTCTTTTTAATTTCTCTCACGACGTTTCGAGACCATTCCAGGTCCCTTCATCAGGTGAACTGGCATGTCACTTGCATTGTGACGTCATAACTGAGTTATGACGTCATAGTGACGACGTCATAGTCCTAACTGCCAGTTCACCTGATGAATAGAATAGAATTAGGAGATAAACATCATGTGTTGGCCAATTTCCGGGTGTTATTGAGTATTTGAAGCACGGGAATTCATTTGGAACCTACGGCGTCAACACATGATGTTTATCGACATTGTAAACACAAAAGTAAACCAAAAGGTCCACACACGTTTTTGTGTCTGCACTCATTGACATAGAGTACGGGTACAGCAGTGCAATGTCATCAGCCGGCCGTTTCGGCTGTCTCCCATGGTAGCATCTGGAACTGCTCATTTGTGACGTCATTCGGACTTTACGTCACAATATGATTTGAATGACGTCATCTCAGCTGACGACGTAACAATACAATGGTGTGAGCGATGTTTGTATGTATTAATACGCAGCAAATGTCCGGGAATCGAATACCATTTGATCACGTTTTTCAACCAATCAGATTAAAGAACACAGTGACTTTTGGTTTACAATAATACTTTAATGCCTTTTCAGGAATTTGTGTTACATCAGCAGAGCTACTGACACATTAGAGAGATACCCAACATATTTACATAAATTCTTTGATTTAGGCATCTTCACATTTGTTTAAAGAGAGATATGGTACTTGGAATAAAGGATGTACGGGCTCTCTTAGTTTTCACAATTGGAACTTTGTATCGGCGGCCTGAAGGGAGAAGGTTGTATTCCGAATTTAAGTAGTGAGTACGGTCAGATATGATTTTGACAGCTTGATTCACGATTTGCCGCTCATATATTGATGATAAACATTCAAATCTGACTCTAGCGATTTTACTTGCAGTGTTAACAATTTTGTCTATTTTAGATTTGAGATGAACTGAGAGAGACCCGTACCAACAATGGAAGAAAAATGTTAAAATACTCTGAATAAATGCTACATGAAAAGATGACATCACAGATGGGTTAACATTAAAAGATCTCAGTTAACGCATGCGATGAAGACGTTGTTGACACTTTTTGTATAGGGCTTCAGTGTTTGAATTCCAGTTCAGCTTAGAGTCAATGAAGGTTCCCAGATACTTATACTCCTCTTCGTTGACTTTTCATCTGCGTTCAACACTATCCAGCCACATATCATGATACAGAAACTGTTAAGCATGGGCGTTAACTCATACCTCATCAAGTGGATCGAAAACTTTCTTGTGGACAGACAGCAGTACGTGAAAGTTAACGGGACTGTATCGAGTAAACGGACCACCAACACTGGTGCACCACAAGGCTGTGTAATACTCCTGTTCTTTTCCCCCTCTACACTACGTTTACTCGATACAGCCCCGTTAACTTTCACGTACTGCTGTCTGTCCACAAGAAAGTTTTCGATCCACTTGATGAGGATCCTGATGTATGACTTAGTTGTCTCTAGATGTTTATAGACATTATTCAGGAGTGACAGTGTGGCATCAACAACTCCTCTCCTTGACCTGTAGGCGAACTGAAGCGGGTCCAGTATGTCGGCAACTTCCTGACGGAGATGTCTCAACAAGATACGTTCCAGCGACTTCATTGCTATAGATGTGAGAGAAACTGGCCTGTAGTCGTTGAGTTCTTTAGGTTGTGTCTTTTTAGGAACTGGTACAATTTCTGATGTTTTCCAGACCGAAGGAATAACGTGTGTATTCACTGAGAATTGAAACAACCTAGTGAAAACTGTACACAGTTGAAGTCTGCACACCTTCAACACAATGCCGTCAAGGCTGTCAGGTCCTTTTGCTTTTCTGATGTTAATTCTGGAGAAGCTTTGAATGATGTCAGCTTCTGATATATGGATACGACTTTCACCATCCTGTACGGCTTCACTAACTTGGGCTCTCTCATCGGTAAAGTCGTGACAATCAAAGCGGCCGTAGAAAGTGTTGAGGTCCTCAGCAAAGGTTTATTATCCCCGGCGTTGGTTGTCTGTCGTCGCCTGCTCTTGCCAATCATCGTGTTCACGCCTTGCCAGGCTTGTTGCAGATTGCTTTGCTGAAACTGTCTCTCAACTTTCTCTTTGTACGCTAGTTTACATCCACGAGCTTTAAGATTGATGTCCTTCTGTATGCATTTGAGTTTTATTCTATCTTTCTTCATGTATGCTAGTTTCTTTTCGTTTAATAAAGATTTCATTTCTTTTGTGATCCAGGGCTTGGTGTTTGGGAAAATTCTGATTTCTTTTTCTGGTATTATGTTGTTGACACAAAAATGTATATAATCCGTAATGACGTCACACATTCCTTCTAATGTTTGTTCTGCATCATAGAACATGTCCCAATCTGTACACGCAAAACATCCTTGTAGAGTTTCAATAGATTCTCTGTTCCATGATTTGACAGTCTTAACAATAGCCTTCTCTGTTTTTACCTTTTGACGATATGTGGGCAGCAAATACACAGAATTATGGTCCGAAGCTCCTAGGGGTGGTTTACTATATGATTTGTAGGCGTTTTTGATGTTACCATAACATAAGTCAAGGATCTTGTCTTTCCGTGTACAACATGTTACATACTGATTGTAGGTGGGGAGCACAGACTTCAGGGTACATCCATTAAAATCTCCAAGTATGAATTTCGGCGCATCAGGACAAATCAGCTCTAGGGATTGAACATGATTATGAACTACATCAGCTGCTTGTTTGTTATCGGCACTGGGAGGTATGTAGACACTCACAGCAAAGATCTGACCGAATTCACGTGGTAGATAAGTAGGCCGCATAGACACTGATAGAAGTTCGATGTTTGGTGAACATATCCTTTCTCTCACAAGAAAGTTACGACACCATTTTTCATTTATATACATACATACACCTCCTCCAATAGATTTCCATGTAGCATCTGAATCTCTGTCTAATCGAACTACCTGGAATGGTCTCGAAACGTCGTGAGAGAAATTAAAAAGAAGTTTAATCCATAAAAATATCTTGGACATCAATGTACAACTTCTAAATGCCACTGAAAGATATCATACAGTTATATAGTCTCCCTGGTTTTGATGAATACCATGTTCTGCTCATTTGTGATTATTATAGAAACATTAGAAGCAAATATATACCCAGTTATTTCACGAAACAACCGTCAAAACATAAATTTATCCATCTGTTGTCAACTTCTAACCGTATATTTATTGAAAATATTGCTTTGTATATATATCATGCTATATTGAAGAGAAATCCACTCTGCTTTTGAACTTTGTATATACTTGTACTATAGGCCTGTGGCCTTCAGTTCTGAATTAAGATTGATTGATTGACTGAGATGGTATGGAACATATAAATTGTTTACCAGACCATAGGGCTGGCTAGCTGTAAAACCGTCTGTTAGAAATCTAGACGGGCCTGATTTCATACACTGGCCCTGGTCTCGGTCAATGACTGGCTGGTATGTGTTGCTTTGTTGTCGAATCATGGGCGTCATGTTAACAGTAACACACTGTTTTCATCTGGCCATTCAGTTCCATATACCGCGTGTGCAATTTCGTGACAACAGCAAGTTAACACGAAATATCAACACACACATAAGCGTTGAAAATGGGGTGACTCATTTTTTACGTTTTGAAAAGGGCACATAGAGGCGTGGCAGTGTCAGCCATCAACAAACTCAACACATCATTTGCTTGATAACGGTGTTAGTAGCTACACCGAAACGTCGCTCATATTATATTAAAGAAGTTGTATATCCATAGAACTCTCCTCGTTGTTCAGGTAACAATTGATGTATATTTAACAAAGAGTGCGGAGCTCTTACAGAACGTTGGATGAACCATTTTATCTTGGAATGAGTGAGTGAGTTTAGTTTTACGCTGCTTTCAGCAATATTCTAGCAATATCACGGCGGGGGACACCAGAAATGGGCTTTACACATTGTGCCCATGTGGGGAATCGAACCCGGATCCTCGCCGTGACGAGCTAACTCTTTAACCACTAGGCTACCCCACCGCCCCTTTTGTTTAGATCTTTGATTTATTAAGAATATGTATTCTCTTATCTTATTTAATTCGTGTGTTTTTTCCATCTGACACTCCTCATCAAACCATTGTTTGTCGGTAGCCTTATATAGTATGACGATAAATTATTGAGAATATTAGGAATATGTTTAATTGGATTTCTAGTATAAACAACCTTGACCAGCTATCAAGTGCTTGGTTTCATTCAAGAGTGACAACTCCGTTAATCCTTTTTCATTAGTTTGTGAAGAGTTATCCCCCTTTGTTTACTTGCTAGCAGACGACATTTTCAGTGATCCTCAGTTTGGATGATTTAGAGAAGAGGAAGGTGATTTTAGAGTATTACAACAAGGACATCAGATCAGCTAAAGTGATTTCAAGTAGAACAGGCATCCCTTTGTCCACTGTTTATCGTGTTTTGAAAAATATTGCAAATGGATATGGCATTGAACACCAGGGAGGCGAAGGTAGGCCCAGAAAATTGACTGTCGGTGACAGTAGGCGGCTTGCTATTCTTGTTTCTAAAAACAAACGAAAGAGTTTGGAAAACTGAAGACTGGATATGATTATTAGAGGAACTGTGGCTGTCTGTAAGGAGACAATTAGAACCGAGCTGCATGCAATGGGTTGGCAGAAAAGTCGAGGTATTCCATCACCGATCATGAA